GGCCGAGGGCCACCGCGGGGAAGCCCGTTCCCACGTTGCGCTCTTTGGCTTCGCGGGGCGAGACCCCGCCAGGACCGCGGCGCCCGCTTCGCGCTCGGGCGAAGCCAGAGATTGGTGGCTTTCTCGGCAAACCACGATTAAGCCGACCGCGATGGGGGAGCCTCTGCTACGGAAAGGAAGGGGAAGGGAGCGCCTGGCCCGGGAACCCCAGGGGGGCAGGTGAAAAGCTCTCGCCTTTCCCCAGGGTCATCTGGGGCTCAATGGATTGGTTGATTATTTGCCATCGAGCCATTTTCGACTCCCGTGCAAAATATCTTCCCGGGATAGAACGTTATTTTTCCAGTAATCAGGTTTTGGATTACAGATTGTTTGGAAACCCCCTTATTTTCAACATGGTTATTTATGATTTGGGTATTATCTGTATGTGTAAAGAGCCTTTTTTCAAATTAACCTAAGGCAGTATTTCAAATTAATCTGTGGACTTCAACTTCCAGAATTCCCCAGCCAGCTTGCTGGCTGGGGAATTCTGGGAGTTGAAGTCCACAGGTCTTAAAGTTGTTGAGGCTGAGAAACATTGACCTAAAGGATTGATTGCAGGGATGGTGGGCTGGAATAGCAGACGTTAACCTTGGAAGGAGTTCAGATGTGACACCCTAACCCAGCCTTTCCAATTTAATGCCACCCTGGCTGGCAAAGAGTTGGGGAATGGCCATCCTGTCCTTGGAAGCTTCAGCCCAGACGTGGGAGGTGACCACCCTCCAGTTCAGGTCTACCGACTGTGTTCTGAGGACACACGGCCCACGGTCATTGCAACACAGCATGATTGTGCGAACCCAGCCTGTGTGTCCTCTTATAGGACAAGATGTTGTCTAAGCAGCCAACCCGGGGACTGTCCATCTTTTCCTTAGTTGCAAATCGCAAAGGTGAAATCCACAAGGGATTGTCAGAGGATTGCCAAAATCTGAACTTTCTGGTGCATTTTGAACTGCCCGTAGCAATCAACCTGTAGAAAAGCAGGCCTCCATGGGTGTGTACAGCCCACCCCATCCAGGGGTCAACCCCCCCAATTTTTTCTCTGCCCAGATGCTGAAGCCCCTGGTGGAGAAACGCCGCCGTGACCGCATCAATAGGAACCTGGAGGAGCTGCGCCTACTTCTCCTGCAGAAAACCCACTGCCAGGTCAGCGAGTGATGCCCCCTGAAACTTGCCCCCTCTCACCCCCCCACAAGTGTGGTGTAGGGCATCTCCACAAAGATAGAAGAGCTACCCGCATCCAGATTAATTTTATGGTCTTTAGGTATCCTTAGAGTTAGTTGAACCCCCTTCAAGTGCATTGAAGTGGATGATATTTTATTTCTTTAACTGCCAGCAGAGGGAGCGATTGCTCTACCTGGCCCAGCTATTAAAGGTAATCTCCATAAAATGGCAGAGAAATAGGTGGCCCTGGACCCTTGATCAGGTATTGGTGTGGTTGTTTCCATTTTGCCTAACAACCATTTATTGGCAGCGATTTCCCAGTGGGGAAACATCCGTGGTGGGTTAAGAGGCCCTGAACTGGTAGTGCATATATTTGTAAGGTTGAACCATCACCCAGTTCTAACCTTGACTAGAACACCAATAATTATTTGGGATAATAAAGTAATCTCTTTCTTGGAGTCCCAGGCTAGGTGCAAGGCACAGGGTAGCACAGAACTCTTCTTCAAGCTAGAACTTGGGGAGAATCACTTGGGAGCCTTTGTTTTCTAGTCCTGGGTACTCTGTGTGGGTGTTGTGGCAGCAAGAAAACAGTTTATATTATGATTATTGAAGCATTTTAATACCTAGGAATGGTTAGCCACTATGTGGGTCAGTGTTTTTCAACCTTGGCAACTTTAAGAGGCCTGGACTTCAACTCCATGCTGGCTCTGGAATTCTGGGAGTTGAAGTCCAGGTCTCTTAAAGTTGCCAAGGTTGAAAAACACTGATGTAGATGTAATCATCCTGTTGGATTCATGGCCCAGAGATACAGGTTTCCATAGAGGTTAGAAACGCTCTGCTGGGTATGTCTCATCCCACGTTCATCCCCGTTTGAAGGAAGTTCAGACGACTCTCTTCTTCCACTCTTTTTCTCCCAACAAGTGGGATGCAGGTACACTGCTCACGGAAGCGGAGGTTCCACTTAGCGGGCAACAACAGGCGTTTGATAGGCGTCCCTGCCTCTTCTCAACAGCGTTGCCCCTTCAAGCCATCTTCTTGGACCTCTTTTATTTACAGACCCTGAAGAATCCCAAAGTGGAGAAGGCAGAGATTCTGGAGCTGGCCGTGGGATACCTACAGGAGAGGAACACGGCTAAACCCCGGGGTACAATTCACCTGCATGGTGGGTGGGAAGGAGGAAGTTGGCAAATGGCGCTATTAGAAAAGGCTTGGTTAGCATCTGTTTCATTGTGGGGGGAAAAGCATTAGAGCAGTGTTTGTCAACCTCAGCAACTTTAAGCTGGGTGGACTTCGACTCCCAGAATTCCCCAGCCAGCATGGCTGGCTGGGGAA